TGTGTGTGTGTGTGTGTGTAGGGATAACAATATTTATCATGTATTCCTGATGGAAATGGTATACAACGGTATACAATGGTATACAACGATCGTCTGCTGTAGGTCGAGTGGCGGATGGGATAGTTGAATGGATTAGGGTAGAGTTGGTAAATAATTTGGGGCAAACACTTCGCTTGTTCAAGTAATTCGCACACTAAACCCCACATGAGCCAAAAATGGATAGGAAAATGGTGGTATGCTGCTTTGATGATCAGAACGTCTGATTTCTAGGAGCAGTTGATACCTGTTTTGCTTTGCATTCGACAAATCACCCCCTGGTCTTTTGTATTACAGTTGTGAAGTTGTTTCATGCTCGTTTGCACAGTTGGAGGTATCGGAAGGATGGTGGATGGTGCCGATGACGGAACAGCACGACAGCAGACGTGATTTAGCCACTCTTACAAAAGAAGTTAGAAAGACTTATAAAAATGGAAAATGAATAAGTGTATGCCATGTAGAAAACTTTGGGAGAATCTACAAATCTAATTGAGGAAATCGACACAAAAGCAACAGTTATACAAACGGTAAAACCCAGAAATTCTCAAGCCTTACCGAACGGTAAGAAGTGATGACTGAAACAGGAGAGCTGAAGTTTCCTCCACATGGTCTGGAACCATCATTTGGTTGGATTTAGTGGGACGTACGAGGTAGAGGTGAGTATATCCAGATGTCATACTCCTAGCTTGAAATCGTTCCTTTTTCCCTTGGGCTGATAAAATGTGGAACACTGTGTCTACCTCTTTCCACCCATCCACTTTCAACTGTCCTCTATTCAAAAATGGAACCAGTAATTTGATTCTCATATGAAAGGTCCTTCAATTCCCCCAGCACAGTATCTCTTGGACGCTGGAGTTTACCGTTTGCTATAAATCATTTGATTTGTGGATCTTCCTACTCGCTCCACTGAACGAATAAAGCAAAGCTCGCAAATTTGTCGCAAATCACGTTGCATATTTACACACAATAGGTGCATGATAGACTTTAGAGAAGGCACTAAGATTTCTCCCAATTAAACGTAAAACAATCGTTAAAATCAGACAATCAAGAGTCTGAATACCAAGTATCTCTGTGTGCATCAAAGCCAGTATGCAGTTACTGGACTGATAGTAAAGATCGACTCACTGATCGATATACCCGTTTGTGTATAACATCACACATGAACAACACGTGTTAAACCACCATGAACAAAGGATCAGATTAACTCTGTTATCGGAAAATGTCACGTTTTTTTTAGAAAATGCATAACTGCTTGCTCATGTATACGTGCGCCTTAACGATGCTTATCTAATGATGTTTGGATGGTGAGTAAATTTCAGTAGGTGACAAACACAGCGGAGAATGTCAGAAGATTTGAAGAACCCGTGTTGTCAGGGTGACTTAAATTTACCGACACTTTTGGTGACGGATGTGAAAGTGCGATGAATATCATGCATGCAATCAATAATCACTCCTTCATTTAACACCTATTCGTCTTGGTCCCTATTCTATCTCCTAAGCGGGAACAAATCGATCGGCGAGAGAGCGCCGTTCTGCTGGAGGCACGTGATCAATCGTTTGATTAGGACAAACTCCTCAAACAATAGACACTACCTCATTCAATTGAAACACCGGAAGAGAGAGAGAGAGAAAGAGAACAATCTTCATATGTACATGTATGTGATCGAAATCCTACCATGGATATCCGAATCACAGCTCACTTTCAAACAAGTTGCACAAAAACACGGTCACATGATGTGACGCACAAACGGATCGATTGCATCCAAAGGGTTTTCTTACACTACGTTTCATAACGGTGTAAATAGAACGACTTCAAACAACCAATTAAACCATTCGGTCGAGAACTAAATGGACAGGCCGATGAAGAGAGAGTGAAGTAAAAGTCATCGTGAGAAACACTCAGGTCAATATGACGTTTGGTTTCAGCTACATACCACAGTGCACCGTGTGTGCTTGGATAGGTTCACGAACGAAACGCACATTACGTTTGCATCGTTGATGGTGGCGCTGGCGGTGCACATCTTGTAACCCACATTCAATCACTCGCACACACAGAGGATGACTAATTAGGTATTGTGAGCATCCCAGTTTGGTGTTGTTTCAAGAAGATAAAAATGTTCCTTGTCATCAAAGAGCCGTTAAAATAGTTCAACGAAGTCTCAGAGCGTCTCATAGTGTACCTGTACTGACTGGGTGATAAGCCACCTCAGCATGTGCACATAGCGCGATGATATAATATTTAGCAGACCGTCAGGGGATATCAGACTTTCATCGTTCTAACAATTTTAATATGAGATTCAACACTAGAGCAAGATGAGATAGAAGTACCTAGAACATCAGACGTAATTAAATGCGGATAAGAAAACAACTTGCATGGAAAATTGAAGCCACTGCACGACTGGGTTTGTTGGCACCACTAGCTAATTGATGATCGAACGCAAATGTGGGATAAAGGATTACTTATT